CTCGGGAGTACTGGACAGTTGTTTCCATTGTCCCAGTTTGGCATTGACTCTTCAGCAGTAGGGCATAGTATCTTTTTTTCCTTCACGTTTCCCAGTGGAACATAGGACTTCAAGCTAGGGGTTTGAAGTTTCTGTAGCAGTGTTGATTTTACAGGATGGGGTTGCTAGCCTCATGCCCAACCTTTCCTCTTCACCAGCATTATTTCTGGTTTAGCGAGGTAAAGGAGTGCGTCGGCCAGGGATCGAACCCCGGACCATGTGAATGGTCGGCAAGCGTCCTAACCGCTATGCCACCGACGCACTAAGCACTCCCGCGCCGGGAATCGAACCCGGGCCGCCTGGGTGAAAGCCAGGAATCCTAACCACTAGACCACGCGGGCATTGCATCGATAACTCGAAAATAAATATTTTTATTTCTTTAAGATTTAAGTGGATGGTATTCAAAGTTTTGTCAAAAGTTCCACTGCCTAGATTCTATTCGAACTCATGCACTGTGTGAGAAAAAAAAATAGTTTCCCATTGGAGTTCCCATTCCACAGTTCCATAGTGTTGAGTGAAGTTCATCGATCAGGCACTTGCAGTATGAATACTAAACTGAATGACACAAGACGGCAATTGACTCTGATTCGATTCCATGTCATATACACTAGGGATGGTATGCCGTGCCATCTTCAATTCCAAAGGGATTATGCACATTAAGTGGCGAATTAAACACTTCTTTGTGTCAGTCAGTTTGAAAAAGATTGTGTCACACTGACTAATAGTAATCATAAGTAGAAAGAGTCAACAAAAAGTGGATGCAATTTATTTACACTTAGTGAGAAACATAGACGGAGAGCGAGCCAGTGAGTGAGCGAGTGAACGAGAGTGGAAGACACAGAAAAGACTATGGAGACATATATGGATGAGCTGAATGGAAACATCCATGAAGTTTTCTATGATGTGCTAGTCATATTCTTACAGATCAAATATCTTCGTGTCATGCATTTAGGCTTAGAAGTGTCCACATCTAGAATAATGAAAAGTAAGAAAGGCAAACAGAAAAAAAATCGGTTGGAGACAAAAATAAACAAAAAGGTGGAATGCTGAAGATGGTGTGTGTAGGTGAAGTTAGGTGAAAAAGAACAAAATGCCAACCCCCAAAAAAGTGAAAAGAAAAGTTCTTCTGCTTCTCATTTCCACTTTTCCACAGAAAGCACTTCTTATCTTTGTTTGAATACGAAACGATTAATTACTTAATAAACTTAATTAAAAGTAAAATATTTAAACCTCAATTTACACAACAAACTGATTGAATTTCATTCGTCTTAGTTGCTGAGTTAAAGTGTGAAATTAAGCTAGTCACTTTACTGCCTTTTTCGATGTGCACGCGTATGTATGCCTACATGTGTATATGTAACCTTTGCACCAGCTACTAAGCAGGTTTGTTCAAGTGAGTACGCTGTATGTCCAGAATGTCTGTTATATTCTGAGGGAATTCGGTTTGTATATATATATATATACATAATTCACGATGTATGTACATAAAGGCGCTTATTAGATTTAATTCTTGTTTTTTTTTGTTGTTGTTGTTGTGTAAATGAGATGCTAACAATGACATAATGAGAATAAGATATCCTGTGGATGGTAGTCACGATGGTGATGAAGCAACAAAAAGAAAAAAAAGAATAAAGCAATCACTAATTCATATTTCTTGAAATTGTATATACCATATGTACCCATATTCTGACATTATTTTTCTATAATGTAGGTAGGTCAATTGAAACACAAAGACTAACTTTCTCAAGAATATCACAATTGTTCACAATGCAGATAAAAAAAATATTTGAGCTTTTATCCATACAAATTAAAGTAAGCTCCTCCAGTTAGCGAACAAAGTCAAAGTCAACAAAAAAATGAAAGTTTAGAAAACTCCATTTTAGCGGGTTTAAATCTCACTGGCACTGGTCAGTAGATGATGACCTAAATATCGACGAAAAAGGTGTTTAGAAAACACCTCAATTACTGCTCTACTACTCAGTCTATGACACAGTTACAACTATGAGTAGTTTAATTTGTGGATGGTGACTAGCAGTAGTGGAATCCAGGATGCTCATTACGTCCCATTTGGGACTCATCAGTTGGATGTACCTGCATTTCCCAGTGAGTGATGATGTTCCCACCGAGGCTCGAACCCAGTGCCCATAGTTTCAAACGCCAAAGCGTTATCCACTAGACCACTTGGGCCACGACAGCCACCTCTTGTGCAATGGGTCATATTAATTTAATTTGAGATTTTCCCGTCGATTGATTGGACCGAAGTGCTCGGTCTCAGGTTGACATGTCGGCTTCTTGAGCAGATGCTTCGACGATGTCTAGGCATTAGGAAGTGGCTATCGTGGCCCAAGTGGTCTAGTGGATAACGCTTCGGCTGGTGTTTGAAACTATAGGCGCTGGGTTCGAGCCTCGGTGGGAACATCATCACTCACTGGGGAATACAGGTACATCCAGATGGCGACTCCCATATAGAACGAAGTGCGCATCCTGGATTGGATTCCACTGCTAGTCACCATCCACCAATTAAATACCAATTATATGCCCAGACATCGTCGAAGCATCTGCTCAAGAAGCCGACATGTCAACCTGAGACCGAGCACTTCGGTCCAATCAATCGACGGGAAAATCTCAAATTCAATTAAACTATGAGTAATGTTCACTAATTCTTTTGTTTCACAAATTTCTATAAAACATAGTAGTATCAATGAAGTCATTCAATCGTCAGTCTCAGCTGTAACTGTTGCCAACGGATTTCAGCATATGTTGAATGACTTTCTGAAATGGCGTGTAGTTTTCGTTAAAACTAATTGCTTATGATGTCGACTTATGATGTGTATAAAGACTTTTGTTAGCCATAAAAGCATTCGCAGGGATTTCCAAATATCTGCTGCACACTTCAGTCTCACAAATTATTAAACACAGGGGAATACAGATAAGTAATTGCCTTGCAACCAGATCGCTTTCTTTTTTAGCTAACCTTTCTATGCTTATTACGGATAACACTACAAGATCGCGTCTCATACCTGTCTTGCATACCAAAATTATCAAAAACTGTATTAATAGTAGTGAAATCGCTAAGGTGTAATCTTGATACAGCTGCGCTTATTTAACGGATAACTAAATTAAACCTGTGCCTCGGTGATATAGCGGTTTGGACGGTCGCCGACCATGCACATGGTCCGGGGTTCCATCCACGGCCACAGACGCACTCCTTTACCCCGCTGAGCCAGAAATAAAAGCTGGTAAAGAGGAAAGGTTGGGTATGAGGCTAGCAACCCCATCCTGTAAAATGATAAACACTGCTACAGAAACTTCAGAGCTCTAGCTTGAAGTCCTATGTTCCAATGGGGAACGTGAAGGAAAAAAAATTAAACCTACATTACAAGCGCAGCATCATACTAGTTAGTATCGGCCTTACTTAAAAGCTGACAGGTCTGTCCTGAATTCACCTACACCCTGAAGAATGACAGCACGCGGGATATTTACAGAAATGGTTATCTTTTACAAAGAAATTGTTGTTATTATAGTTCAAAGTAATCAGAAGTAGTCAACTAATGTGAATTATAAGTTGATTCACTGGTAAACATGGAGTAGACGTCTCTCATTTCGATGTTATTAGAGAAGAAGAATTTCTATCCAAGATGTTGATGCATATATAACTGATGGATAAAAAGAAGAGAGAAAAAAGCCTCAGGGTATTAAAATGTTGAATAATAATAATAATAACACAATGTCTTATTCAATTTTTACACTGGTCTAGTGCATCACTTATTCTATTTCATATGACTGACTCCATCCATGCTCATTTAACTGTATATGCTCAAGAGTGAATGAAATTTCTACACAAATATTATTTACTATAAGTGGTTATCACTGTATTTTGCAGTCTGAGGTGGACGTTTTATTCAAACAAAAGGCAGATCTCTCCCTCTCTTACTTCATATGTAAAGCGAAAAACCGCCAGAAGTATTTAACCATAATTTCTTTACGCCTATTTTAATTTAAGTGGATGTGATGAATTGAGAGGAAATTAAATAGGTATAAGTACCTTTTCTGTGCGACATGACAGTTCTCCTAATTACTATTCTTTGTTTATCGATTTTACACTGGTAGTTCTGGTCGTTCATGCAGGTCGTTTGCAATACCTTTTGAATATTTTTAGTCGAAGTTTTACTTGCCGATATAATGTGAACACATTCCTGGATTTTTACATTTATTTATTATCTAAAAAAACAAACATTTTATTCCTATACTTTCCAAGTGAAACATGGGGCTTCAAGGTAAAACGAAATTTAAAATCGCAGTAGCTCTACATACGGGGGTAGTTTTATGCACCTATCATATGACCAGGAGTGGGAAATATATGCCATCATCTCGCTTCAGGGGCAGAGTTCACTTCATAATCCCTCGTAAGCTTAAGCTGACCACATGTCTGATGGGGGTGGGGTGATGAAGGAATGCGTAAGATGAAACTTCGTTAAACTCCTGTCTGCTCAAAACACACTGGTCAACTTCCCCAGTGGTGATAGTTAAAGCAGAAGATAGTGTGGACAACCGGAGATTTGCTGCCCGAGTGAGTTCGCAGTGTTTTTTTCTAAGCTGTCACTCTTTGAAGCAGAGCTTCCAATGACTCGTTTAATATTAAATCCTGTGTGTTTCGGCAGAAGATAGAGATAGTTGTCTCGGTAAGAATTTAAATTCAGAGAATTTTAGAAAATAACAGAGTAATATGACTTTTATTTAATCTTTTATCAACCAGTGGAACTGAAGTCACTTAAAGAGTATACATTTAATAGTTCATATTAAGAGGCACTTTGTGACTGGTTGAATCCCTGAAGGTATGAAGTGACAACCTGTGTAATTAACAGTCCTTTTCACAAAATGTTTTCTTTTTTTGGGGGGTGGAGTATTATTTTTGCTTCACAGATGATAATAGCATATTTTTTTTCTATTGTGTTGCTTAGGTCTGTCGGAGAAACTGAATCTGCACTTATAATTTCCTGAACGATAAAGATCTTAATGCATTGCATCACTTCAGTCCTATCAAATCCTTCTAAACAAACAACAGAATCGCATCAGATGACAAGGAAAAGTCTGTCTCCATCATCCCCTCTTACTCAAGTATCGGAAGAACTGTTCCACTCATCAATGCTCACACGTTCAATGGTCCACTCCTCGCCCACTTCATTTGTGTCGTCATCCCATCCATCCCAATCAACTGGACTCGGCGTCAATTCAACAAAGCCGCTCACCTCAAATTTGAACACCAATGTGACTAATAATTCATCAGGACATTTACCATATGATCCTTTTAAATGCAAAGTCAACCTGCCACTTCAAGATGGTGATTCTCGTGGTATTTATGATACTTCTGCATTAGTGAACAGTCAAAATTTACTATCCAGTTTGCCGTCAGTTTGTTTCGGTATATCGAATGATTCTTTATTAAATCAAATAGCAAATGGACAAGCAGCTAACCTTCTGTCTATGTCAACACCATTTCCCAGTGAGATATGCCTTAACAAATTTCCAGACAGTCTAGTTCGCAATTGGACTGAAGGTTTCACAGCTACAAACACTCAAATAAATAATCCTCCGATAAACACTTCTCAGAGCATAAATATGTTAACCGATATGAGTGTCAGCAGTGCTGCTTTGTCCTTGAAATGTCAATCTTCCGATATACCGCTTAGCATTAACGATACAACTTTAGAATCTCCTGATAATCTAGTCGTGTATGGATCAATTTCTGACAATAGTAACAATCATTACAGTCTGGAAAAGTCGAAGACAACTCTCTCGGATACTGAAAGTATGCAGAATAACAATTTCTCTGTTATAAGTACAACTGCCTATCAAAATTCCTGTCTCGAGTCAAACAAATCCCGAATAAGCAGTCATCATACTACTGGAGGCGGCGGCAGTATAACTCAGAATAGTACAACGAGAAAAAGTGATGAAGATTTTTGTGACCTGTGTCAAAAACACTTTTGTAATAAATATTACTTACGTAAGCATAAGATAGATGTTCATGGGATACACACTGAACCATATTCACACAGTCGTCGACGTGCTGGGGAAACACAAATCGCGGTCAATACAAATCATACAAAAAGCATTAACTTGTCTGTTAGCAATATCGGTGTCAGTACTGCAACAATATCTAATGCCAGTGTTATTACTCCACCGCTTATCGGCAATAACAGTAATAACAGTGTTATGCTTAACGGTGACAGTCTAAAGACGAGAGATAAATCTAAAGGACTTGATTTTTCAGTAGATTATGACAAATGCAAACTGAATGACTTTCAGTGTGATTCGTTTAAGCCGCATTCACCAACGAAATTTGAATTCAGTAATAAATCACTGTCCAGCATTTATGATTATATGAACTGTGGAAGTAATTTACTGAATGAAAACATTATCGGCAGTGGGAGTAATCAGTGGAAGAAAAATTGTATAAGCACTACTAATATAAATACACTCAGTAGTATAAAAAACACTGATAATAATAATGGTGTTGTTGGTCAAGCTCCTCATCCATCAGAACTCAACCTTAGCCTGATCAACAGTACAAACAGCACATGCCTATCACCCAGTTTCGATGTGAATACTACTACTATTAATACTACTAACAAGTACAATGTGAGTAGTGAAGCCATGTTGAACATAAACGATCAGTGCTCGATAAATTCGTCGGTATTGGAGACGAAAAACTTAAATCCATTACTATCAGCACATCACTACTATATGATGGCGTTGGCGGCAAATTTTTCATCTTCTACAGCCAACCTGCTTAACGGATCAGAAATGATGATGATGAAATCAAGTTTGACGACGAATAAATTCACCTCAAATCTGGACATTCCTTTCTTGCCTATACCAGCTTCACTTGATATGAACAATATTGCTTTGCAAGAGGCTCAGTGTGATCAATGTCATAAGGTATTTTGTAATGAATACTTTCTTCAATTGCACCGTCTAAGTCATCAAAGTAATTCAGATGGATCATTAACGAGATCTGATGAAAGAAATTTTGATGCTTGCGAAGATATGACTACTGAAATTAAGGAGATCAGTAATATCGGTAGGAAAACTACCCAACAGTGTGATAATGAAAAATCGGAGATGGACACTGAGAATGACATTGGTCTTGATTTCAATTTACGAAAACGTGATCGCGAAGAAACAGACGACGAAAATGACAGTCATCTATTTCCATCGAATAAATTTGCCATTAGCGACATGAATATGAGTTATTCAAGGAGTTCAGAGTTCAGAATTAGTGGTGGTCATTCATTGGACGCTTTTAAAAACAGTATGGTCGCTGCAAAATTGGCTGATCGTGTGACCTGTGAACTCTGCAATAAAGAGCTGTGCAATAAGTACTTCTTAAGAACACATAAAATTCGAGTTCACGGTGTATCACCGAAAGATGTTGGTGGACCACCGATGCGAAATCCACCGGTAATTGAAAACTCATCGCTTTCTTATCCTTTGAATGAATCACGGACGACTGGAAACTGTATAACTACTTCACAGGAGACAAACTCTTCACTGAATTATGATGATAACTGTAAAACAGATCCAGCATTTTGTGAAGATATAATGAATTCCTTCAGCTCTGCCTACTCTACACTCGGTATGGTAAATCAATTTCTTCCATTCGCCTACTGGCCATTATTTGCTGCTAATCAATTTGTATCCGAAAAAGCGGTTAACTGTCAAATGGACAAGACACTACTACCTGGTCTAGACAGTGTGGCCACATGGAACAGTTTAAATAATCCTATGTCAAGTGATATGTACAATCGAACAGAAAGTACGCAGAATTTAGCACTACCGGAAATTCCCTCTGCTGTAGCATTGATTTCTTGTCCATTGTGTGATATGCCAATTGGACCACGTTTATTCTTGCCTACACACTTGAACAGTGTGCATAAACTGTGTCCAACTGATCCAGATTTCTTTATGAATATGTTACGCGCGAAACCAATGACAAAAGCAGAGCTGATAACTGACGGAAAAATCAGTAATTACTGGTCTACAATATTTCCTAGTCTCGAGAACAAACAATTAGGCAGTAATAATGATAATAATAATAATAGTAATAATTTGCAATTGAAGTCAGCAAGTGATACATTTCAAAAGGATCTTGATGTACATCATCAGCCGAGTAATAATGACATGGGCAATGGAAGGAATTCACCGTCTGATAAAAGTGAAGATGTTCTCAATATGAATACATTTGGTGACAATTTAATTATCAAAGAATTACAACCATTTGTTCAAAGTGAGTAAAGTTAATCCTATTTTTTTATTATCAAAAGGTATATATTATTGGTTACAGGATTTCATTGAACCATTAAAAACCCGTAGAGAGTACTGGACAGCTGTTTCGTCCTAGTTTAAGACTCTTAATTAATACTACACACCCACCGCCAAAGTTGGAACCCAGGACCTTCTGGTTACAAGACGAGCTAGATCTTAGACCATTACGCCACTAGGACCCGATCCATTGACTAGCCCATGAATCCTAACTTTTGCCAATTCATGACATAGCGTGACCACTAGCCAATATCTTCTGCGAGTATTTGTCCTCACGCCCGACCTTCTATACCCCACGCACTGGTCGCGACTTTCAATTAGCACTAGAACCGAGGTCACTACTTACCTGAATAAAGCCTGTCGCTAGTGAGCATCTCATTGATATTCAAGTATTGGTTTGTATGATTCCGAATGAAACATTGGGGGTTAAACAACACATCTCCAATACATCTTATTGTCTCGGGTCCTCTTTAACTGGTCCCACTATTGCCTCCAATAAGCGATTTCATCTCCTCCTCACACAATCTCCTCCATGTCACAGTTCCACTCGAATTGTGAGTCGGCGCGCGATGTCATCCAATGGTCTTCTCAGTGTTATATCCAATCCATCTCCATTTTTTTATGCATATTCGTTAATCCAAAGGTTATTGATTAGTTCGTACCCAGAGTTTTTTTAAATTTTTTATCTCTTTTACGCCACATGATCTTCAGTATAGAGCGAAGCAAGCTGTTGATAACAGTCTACAGCCTGTTGGAAATCACATAAAACTGCTAAGTTTAAAATATAATTTCACTGTACTAAGTCGAAGATTATGTGCGTTGGTGGTACAGCGGTTACGACGCTCGCCGACTATACACTTGGTCCGGGGTTCGATCCCCGGCCACTGACGCACTCCTTTACTCCACTGAGCCAGTAATCAGACTGGTAAAGAGGAAAGGTTGGGCATGAGGCTAGCAACCCCATCCTGTAAAAATAAACACTGCTACAAAAACTTCAGGCCTCTAGCTTGGAGCTCTATGTTCCACTGGGAACGTGAAGGAATAAAAAAAGTTGAAGATTATACCGTTATGGCGATAAATTTATCCAGAGAAGCATTATATGAATTAAAGAACCACATTAATAACTTTTTAAATCGATCCGGGATTCAAAAAATTTTATCAGTGTCACTTGAAAAAGTGCTTATGAGTTAGGAACAGCTTGTATCAATGCTAATTACCGTGCAGTTTTTCCAGTAAGGCTCTTTACCCATCATTATATTAAAGTAATCATACGAGTTTAAAATTTGTCCCTATCATAAGCAGTAAACTACGCCGAATTCGCAATCTAAAAAAGAAATGCTGATGTAGTATTCTACACTACATGAAATAAAACAAAATAAAATGATACGGGAATGTGCTCTGCTTCACTGCCAGAGTGAAACAGTCTTCAATTCCTTGATATTATTAAACCCCTTCTCAGGAAACGTCTTTCTAAATGACGTTAGGCATTAATGAAAGTGTCATCATCAAGCCTATTCATCAGATAGTACCATCATTTATTTCGTCGGCTTCTCATCAGCTGCTTACAGCCTAAATAAATTGTGGGGTTTACGTACAGAAAAGTTTTAACATACTTGCAAATTTTACATGTTGTCAGTTGAGAGAAAGTTCCACAGTAAGTGAACAGTGCTCAGAAAATTGCGCTTATATAGTTTTTCCACAGGCAGTTTAAGTTTAAACAAAATAGATGTATGCATACAATGGTAAAAGAGTTACGTAATAAAGACGAGAGGTGAGTAAGATGATGAGTAACTAGTAAATTTGGTAACGATGTACTGAGTTCAAATCACGTCATAGAAACAAGAGACAAGCAATATTACAGATTTAAAAAAAGAGGGGTGAGGTTAAAGACAAAGATTACGTAATCAGATTAGAGAATAAAGACATCCAGTTACCATGGCAAGGAAAGACTAATAACTGCTTCTTTCTGAACACATAAATCTGGTTTGAAGCGTTTGATAGAAATTGCTTCGGCAAACTTGAGGAGAATGGAGCTCCTTTGTCTATTGATAATTTTAAAGGATTTCTCGATTTCCACCTCATGACCCGTGTCGAGGAGATGCCTGGCGATGGCACTGTTTAAAGAATTTGTTCCCTTTAGACGTAAGCTTTTTGATACATGTTCAGAAAATCGTAGATATGCCCTTCTTTCTGTCCTTCCAATGTAGCTGCTCCCGCAGATGCATGTGAATTTGTAAATGCAGTTGGAGTTCACATGAGAAGGATATCTATCGATTTTTGATTGCACCAAAGAGCAAGTTGTTTGATAGACGGGAACGAGCTTGGCTGCAGAATAGGCTATAGCTAGTGATGTACTCAGCCTTCTGTTGATCATCACTGTAATGTTTTCACCTTTATAATCAAGCTGAAAGTTAGTTATGACACTGAAAAAAACCTTTGGCCTTCACACTTACCTTGCTTATCGCCTTTGAATAGTTTGAAGAATATGGACACATTGGTCAATGAGACAGCTCCATGACTTCCACACGGTGTTTCCAGCAAATCGTTCGTTTGCATAAAGTGTGTGTGTGTGTGTGGGGGGAGGCGGCTGGCGGACACTTGTGAAACCACAGACAGAGACTAATTAGCCCATGGTAAATAAGGGCAATAGAACTTTAAAATTTGGTGTCTCGAATGATTGATTTTATTTGTTATTAGGATACGTATATATATGCTGACTTAATGAAGATTGTTAACTACTATCGTGGGTCGTAGTATTAGTAGTAATAATAATGGAATAATTATACTAGTAGTAATACTAATAACAGTGAAAGATTTTAATTTTTGGCCAAAGAAATAAATTACAAAAATGAATAATTAAAACATAAATATATATGTACATATATATCAGATTTTTTCTGCCATACAGAAATGATTTATGAAGCATCTTCTTTCTTCCTTACTTCATTCCTAGTGAATCATCTTAAAAGCAAAATATGCTTTAATGGAATCTCTGATAATAATAATAATAATAATATGCCTAAGTGTATCTGTGTATGTGTTTGTGGGTTTGACAGTGACAGAGCAAACAAGTGGATAAAATATCTGCAATGAGTTGATTTTAAAATCTACTACTGCTAATAATAATAATAATAATAATAATAATAATAGTAATAATAATAACACAGGAGAGATATCAAGTTCCCTTGATTTGTAGTCATTATTTTCAGTCATATAATCTGTTGCAACACATGTACGCAGTAATTGCATCATTATTCTGTATAAATTAAAAACTTTACTGACTGACTGACTGTGCTACAACAGTCTTGAAGTGCTGCACGGGGTCAATGGATCAGGTGCGTATTCTTCACTGCGTATATCGCCAGATTAAAATATGCCCTGGCACTGTTGTATGTATATATATGTATATGTTAATGTGTGCTGCTAGCATGTTGTCATTTTCAGTCAGTGCCATCTCAGTGTTCACTCTAAGCATGCATAACTTGTTCACCTGGATGATTAATGGACAGCTAATGTGTAGGGAAGAGAGAGCAAGAGAGAGAGATGGGGATGCAGAGTAAGCAATCATTAAGACAATATATAGAGAAATTGATGAAGAGAATATAGGAGCCTATTAAATTATTATTATTATTATTTGACAAGATTCATTTGTATGTGACAATTAAGCAGTTTATCTTTCTTTTTCAAAACTGTCCAACAGAGATACTCAGTTTTCATTGTCACTTTAGGAATACTTCTTCTTCTTTCCTGCTTGCTTTTTCTTCAATTTCAGTCCTTTAAAATCTTCCCAAAAATAAAACAAAGTAATCATAATCATAATGATAATAATAATTCCCCCCGCCCCACCCCGCGTCGCTCAATTTTCATACTTCTTCCCCATCTTATTCTCCTTCTTCCAGGAAGATGGAAGTCTTCTTTACAAACTCTGTTGTGATTTGTGTACACACACTATAATCATTACCGTCATTGGGCATAAAGTAAACAAGATGTCATGTAATTGACAGTCGTATATTGTTAAAAATATATTTCACAAGGTCTCTATCACTTATCTTCTCTTTCTATTTTTTTTAACATATATATATGTATATATTTATGTGCCTTCTAAAAACTCAATTTTTATCTGTCAAAAGGAAAGAGAATGTACCAACCAGGTTATTATTATAAATATAACAACGACTACATCATAAGTCTTAATTTGATAACGAAGTAAAATCTTTCGCCCGTATATTGTCGTCAGTCAAAGAATAAGGTCACCCGCCAAATTGGCATTTAAACCTGTCCTCTTCTGCCTATCATCATCATCATCATCAGTAAATTCCCTATGATGATGAGGCTGAGAAGTTAGCTAATAGAAGGCGCTTAACTCAAACAGCTGGAGACTGATTTTCTCAAGTCTTAAATGAACTCGAAACTAATCATTCAGCGGTGGAATTTGTTTAGATGAATGAAGCAGACGCTTTGTTTCTGATTCTGTGTAAATTATTCCAGACACTGGGTTTCTTTAGTTCTGTCTGATCTTGCTTCACCGCATTCAGTCTTGATAAGTGATTCAGCAGGGAGACGTTTCTCCAAGAATTGCATACAAGAATTGCCTTTTATAAATTTGACTAAGGGAAGAACAAATCTTGGTGCAGAATAAGACGGATTCATTGTAGTTCGTTGGTTGTCATCAGCAGCGTACAACTTATAATCTTTAATAAAATACGTCAATATACAATGTTGACATACTGTCTGGTACGTTGAACTCAGAGTACTGAGTTCACATAGAAAATGGATGGCCTAACTCAACTTCAGATTGATAAACAAGAAAAACTAAACAAGCACCTGATTCCAGTAAACAAAAAAGGCAAGGCAAGGCAAAAATGGACTTATCACTTTTCATGGTCATTATGATAAAAACTGAGGTTGCCAGTGCAAAATGTCAGTAATGTTATCTTCAGCTTAAGATGAGTAGCAAAAGACCAG